CAACTAATGTGATTTAAACAATGGATCTGTCACAGAGAGACTAGAGGTTTTGGGAGACACTCGTCACTACATCGCTCTTTTCCCAAACGATGCATCGTGCTATGATTGAGTTGCGTCGTTGTTTGGGAAACACACCCCAGGACAGTTGGTTGAACTGCTGGTCACGTTAGAGAATGTGTGTGTGTGTGTGTGTGTGTGTGTGTTTGTGTGTGTGTTTGTGTGTGTGTGTGTGTGTGTGTGTGTGTGTGTGTGTGTGTGTGTGTGTGTGTGTGTGTGTGTGTGTGTGTGTGTGTGTGTGTGTGTGTGTGTGTGTGTGTGTGTGTAGCTTTGTCCTGTGGCATCATCCTCATGGCTATAGTCGTGACAACCATCACTGGACTCTCCACATCTGCAATCGCCACCAATGGATTCGTGCGCGGAGGTCAGTGTTGAGTTATCAGACACACAGCTCTGTGTTCTCACATCTACAAGCAATGTTTAGGCCGTCATTATATGTGTTTCTGGAATTTTCTCATTGTTAGAAAAAGTAATTTAAATGTAAAAAGTAAATCCATCACATATGTAAAAGTTTTTATTCATGACCTAACTTATACTAATTTCCATTTCATGTGTGTGTGTGTGCGTGCATGTGCGTGCGTGCGTGTGCGTGTGTGTTATACTGCAGGTGGTGCATATTACCTGATCTCCAGGAGTTTGGGTCCAGAGTTTGGAGGATCCATCGGGCTGATCTTTGCCTTCGCTAATGCCGTGGCTGTGGCCATGTATGTGGTGGGCTTTGCAGAAACCGTTGTTGAACTTCTTGATGTGAGTATGATGATGATGATGATCTACAGAGACTGATGATGATGATGATGATATTCTACACACACACTCACATGTACTGTATGATTTGTATTTTGCATGTGTTGATCAGAGTATCGACGCTCTGATGACTGATGAGATCAATGACATCAGGATTGTGGGAACGCTGACGGTCATTTTACTGCTCGGAATCTCAGTTGCTGGGATGGAGTGGGAGGCCAAGGTCAGAATCTTCCAGAACATGAACACTATAGTAGATTACCATAAATACTGTAGTGATTTTGAACTACATCCCTGTAAAGTACCTGAGTTAATCTGTTGTGGTGATTCTACAGTTGCTATGGTAACACAACAACTATAGTAATTGATCTGTTGTGGTGATTGTACAGTTACTATGGTAACTCAATAACTATAGTAATTGATCTGTTGTGGTGATTCTACAGTTGCTATGGTAACACAACAACTATACTAATTGATCTTTTGTGGTGATTCTACAGTTGCTATGGTAACAAAACACCTATAGTAATTGATCTGTTGTGGTGGTTCTACAGTTGCTATGGTAACAGAACAACTAAAGTAACTGATCTGTTGTGGTGATTGTACAGTTACTATGGTAACACAATAACTTATAGTAATTGATCTGTTGTGGTGATTCTACAGTTGCTATGGTAACTCAATAACTATAGTAATTGATCTGTTGTGGTGATTCTACAGTTGCTATGGTAACTCAATAACTATAGTAATTGATCTGTTGTGGTGATTCTACAGTTGCTATGGTAACACAACAACTAAAGTAACTGATCTGTTGTGGTGATTGTACAGTTACTATGGTAACACAATAACTTATAGTAATTGATCTGTTGTGGTGGTTCTACAGTTGCTATGGTAACAGAACAACTAAAGTAACTGATCTGTTGTGGTGATTGTACAGTTACTATGGTAGCACAATAACTTATAGTAATTGATCTGTTGTGGTGATTCTACAGTTGCTATGGTAACTCAATAACTATAGTAATTGATCTGTTGTGATGATTGTACAGTTACTATGGTAACTCAATAACTATAGTAATTGATCTGTTGTGGTGATTCTACAGTTGCTATGGTAACACAACAACTAGAGTAATTGATCTGTTGTGATGATTGTACAGTTACTATGGTAACACAACAACTATAGTAATTGATCTGTTGTGATGATTGTACAGTTACTATGGTAACTCAATAACTATAGTAATTGATCTATTGTGGTGATTCTACAGTTGCTATGGTAACACAACACCTATTGTAATTGATCTTTTGTGGTGATTCTACAGTTGCTATGGTAACAGAACAACTAAAGTAACTGATCTGTTTTGGTGATTCTACAGTTGCTATGGTAACAGAACACCTAACGTAATTGATCTGTTGTGGTGATTCTACAGTTGTTATGGTAACACAATAACTATAGTAATATAATCAAACATTCTAGCACTGCAGTTTTCTCCAGCTATAGCGTATGTTATGTGTCTCCTCTGATACTGTATTTATTGCTCTCTGATGTTCTGATGGTCCCGCAGGCTCAGATTGTGTTACTGGTGATTCTTCTGGCGGCCATTGTCAACTATTTCATCGGATCCATCATTCCCATGAAGTCAAAGGAATCCAGGGGTTTCTTCGGTTATAGCGGTGAGACGTCTGCACTCTTCAGCACTGATGAACGCTGATGAATTAAGCTGACGTCTTCATCCCTGTGCTTGTATGTCTGAAAGCTGCCATAATGATGGAGAACATGGGTCCAGATTTCAGAGAGGAGGAAACCTTCTTCTCTGTCTTCGCCATCTTCTTTCCGGCCGCGACAGGAATCCTGGCAGGAGCAAACATATCTGGAGATCTGGCGGTGAGTTCTGCTCATTGACCTCATCATTAGGCAGGGTTTTCATGCTTCTGTCAGTCTATGGAGACTGCCGTCATCTAGAACTCCACATCTATAATCCTCTTAGTCTATGCTGACATCATCTTTAGCAGCTCAAACACTCTAATGGCTAATGGACAGACGGCTGCTTCTCACTCAGGGCTGCTGGACATGCTAATTAGATGGAGAGATGGACACTAGTGGGCGGGGCTTTCCCCCTTTGATGACATGTACAAAAGGAGAATGTCAATCAAAGTGTTTCATTCATCAAGTCTGATTATAAATATTAGAATTCATTCATGTTGAGCATTAGAGGCTGGAGATATCCACACACTGCTGACACACACCACTGGGTAAAAACTCAGCATAAAAGTCATTTTTGCATAATAGGTCCCTTTTAAAAGCTTTTAGAGAGTCCATGAAGGTAAACCACATGCATCTGTGTCATTAATACATCGTGTTTATTTTTCATTCATTCATTCATTTTCTTGTCGGCTTAGTCCCTTTATTAATCCGGGGTCACCACAGCGGAATGAACCGCCAACTTATCCAGCAAGTTTTTACGCAGCGGATGCCCTTCCAGCCGCAACCCATCTCTGGGAAACATCCACACACACACTCACACACTGCAGACAATTTAGCCTACCCAATTCACCTGTACCGCATGTGTTTGGACTGTGGGGGAAACCCACACAAACGCAGGGAGAACATGCAAACTCCACACAGAAACGCCAACTGACCCGAGGCTTG